CAGCCCAGGGCCTTAGCACTCCCTGACAGCCGTGTAGCCAACTCCCTCGTGGCCTCAGGCTGTGAGAAAATGCCGCTTTCTCAACAAAGCCTGCCCTGAGCTCCTGCTGCCACTCACCCCAGGCAGCTCCCCCTTGTCTGTGTATCCTCACCGGACTCCACTTTTTCTCTCAACATTCTGTGTCATGCGCACCAGTGTTTTTGCCCATCACCTGCACAGGAAGGTAACCCAGTGAGGGCAGGTGGCTTTGATAACTGGCTTGGAGCGCGACCTAGCCCCCCCATTCCTGCTAATCCAGGAATTAGCAGTGAAACACTGAATGAAATGGAGCAGGGCAAAGGGTAACGGCCTGGAAGCCACTGGCTGCGCCCACTGGAAGGGATAGTGAAGTAAATGGGGGACAGGCGGCGGAAACCTGTGCTCTGCTGCTGCAGGTAGAGATCCTGTCGGTGCCAGAGTGGAGTTGGGGTGCTGGCGTGAACAGTCGGGGAACGGCCTGCCAGGTGGCTGCATACAGAAACACAGACATGTGCATTGCAGTCAGGGATTTGTAATGGTGCAGCGCACACCTAGGTGTCTTCCCTCGGTCAGCTAAGAGGACTTGGGAGCAGTCACAGCCCAGACTGTGGTTTCTAATCCGTTCTTCAATAAGAGGAACCGCAGCTCCCTGGGGAAGTGGGGATTCCGGGACCAGGACAGGAAACACGCAGGTGAGCCCGTGACCACCAGTGAGTATGGCACACTGCAATGGTGGGGTGTGCCCGAGGGACACAGCAGGAGCGGGAAGAGCCCCATGGCCAGAGCTAGGGCAATGTGAGCACGAAAACAGGGTCATCCTGGGTGAGAGTCCGAAATGTACAACACCGTGAGTCCATAAGATATAAATGAATGAACAGAGGGAAGGAGGGAACTTCCCAGGGGAGGAGATTCTAACAACCACTGCAGATGCTGTGCCCTTGAGGAGAGGAGGCCTAATGCCCACCCTGCAAGCAGGGGTTGTGTCCAGCAACACCTGCCAGAGCAGGCTGGCTAGGGAGACAGCCGCCTCGCACGGCAACCCAGCTCAGGCCTCCGGAGAGCCTGCACCTTGGAGAGGAAGTGGGAGGACTCACTTCCCCTCTGTGATCCTCCTCAAAACACAGCCTGCTGTTCTTGAGAAATATGTCAACCAAATCCTGAGGGGCGGACAAGCAGCGGCCAATACTCCTAAAGCCTCCCGACTGCCGGAGACGGGAGGAACGTGTTCCCATTTCTACCATTATGCACCGTGCCACCTCACACTTGGATTACAGCCCACAGTACTTTGTTTTGTGCTGAAGTTGGGGGCTGGGAGAAGCCTGGGAATCATGGGATCTGAGGACAGAGAGAGGGCATTGGGAAAACAGAGGTGAAGCATGGGCACTGGAGCACACTGGACATAGTGTGCGCTGGAATGACACATCAGTGTTGCTTTGTTATTCATGACAAATGTTAACACAGCAGTAGGAAAACTGGGTATGGTGCCCTGACCTGGGTCCTGGAACAAAAAATGGCATCATGGAAAAATTGGTAAAAGCCAAATAAAGTCTAGCGGTTGGCAAACAGTAATATCCTGATGTTGATCTCTTAAGTTATGACAGATGTGCCATGGAAAGTAAGATGTTAGCTATGGTGAAACCCATGAGAAGCCCAGAGGAATTTCTGGATGAACTGCATCTTTTCCCAGAAGAAAAAGTTTATGAGAGAAAAAATAAGCCAGGCATGGTGGCAAAGGCTGATGATCTCAGCACCCAGGAGGCTGAGGCAGGAGGACTGCTGTGAATTCAAGGCCAGCCTAAACTACACAGTGAGACCCTATCTCTAAATAAAGTGGAGAAAGAAAAATAACTCCACAAATGGAACCACGGCACATAGAAAGTGGCAAATCTTAGGCTAACTACATCTTTTCCATAAAGAAAAGTTTACTGAAGGAAAAATATATATACCTGTAATATATATACCTGTCTTAGAACTCTGGAAGCTGAGCCAGGCTGGGCAACTTAACAACTCAGTGAGACCCTGCCCATTGTTAGACAATGTTTTACATTCTAGACTTTCCCCTGGTCTGGACGTGTGACCCACGGGGAGAGCTCCCTACACATCAGCAACCCTCGGTGCCAGCACACTGGGGCACTTCCCTTGCAGTCCTGTCACCCTGCAGGTCCCCTGAAGACCCCAAACTGACTGAAAATGGCTGGTACACCATTTCCATAAGGTGAGGGTCTGATTATGGAGGAGGGGGCACCTGTGGGACAAATACAGGCTGTGAGTGCAAGGGCACAGTGAAAACATTGTCACCTTGCTGGAAAATGTCCTCTTGTCATCTGAGCCCTCACTAGCACCTTCAAGCTCCCTCAGGCCCTAGGAGCACATATTCCTACCCCTGTCTTTGCCTGTTTGGTAATGTCACTCTGGACCACAGTGGCCAGTCGGTGCCTCCTGTGACATCACAGGGGTGGGTTGGGGTGCATCGTGTGATGGCCTAGCCAGACCTCAGGGGACAGTGTGGACACCTGCATGGCACTCAGCGTGTGGGAGGTGGCAGGAGCCCTGTGCTGGGCATGGTGTTTTTCAGTGGGGACAGCTACAGGGAGAGGCTATGTGTCGCTTTAAAAATCATGCTACTGGGGTTTTAGATGGAAAATGACAGAAAGAGCACTCTGTCACCCAAAGCATCCCGTTTACTTATCTATGCACCATACACTGGGTTCCTCTATGCACTGGTCGGTGTTCTGGTGCAGAACACACAGGGAGCAATGCGATCCCCGAACCATGGGCTTTTCTATGGCAGAGGAGGGAGGTGGTGGTAAATAAAAATACCAGTTAGAGGCCAGCACAGTGTTAATCAGGGCAAGAGCCAGCTGCCGTAGCAAACCCTACCATTCGTTCCAGAGATGGCCAAGGCGAGCTGAGCAGCCCTCCATGCACCCCGCATGGCCTGAGGGCTTCCTCTGTGGTCATCTGATCAACGCCTGCTTCCTCTGCCAGGACTCAGTCCTCCTCTGTGGCCATGCAGCCCTTCCTTCTGTCCTAAGCTTGCCTGCACCTGCTCTTCTCGCTGAAGGAGCTCGGGACCTCATGGTTGCTGAGGATGGCTGTGGAACTTTTCGGGAGAGCCCTGGTCCTTATTTTGAGTATCTCTTCTTGGCTCCACTGCAGAACCCTCAACCTGCTGGCACAGATCCTTCATCCCGCTGGCACAGAATTTCTAGCTTTCACCGCCAACGTTTGGGCATTCCCAGTGTAGCTCTGTGACTTGCATGGGTCATTGTTGTGGGCTGTAGATTTTCAGCTGACCTCATGCAGGTTGTTGCCATGGGATCCAGGCCTTCGGCTGGATTTTCTGGGTCTTTAATGTTGTGGACAGATTTCCTGCACTTTGTATTTGACTCCTTGGGTGACCATTATAAATCATACTCTAAATGATGCATTCTGTATGTAACTGTTCTCCTTGCAACTCCTGAGTATAACACATGTCATGCTGCAAGAGTTATGTCCCCAGCACTTTTTATTTTTGGAGACATGGTCTCACTAAGTTCCCCAGGCTGGCCTCAAAAGTGTGATCATCCTTCCTCAGCTTCTGGAGTAGCTGAAATTACAGATGTGCACCATTTTGCCTAGCACATGACTCGGTTCTATGTGTATTTTTTTTTTTTTTTTTTAGATCTTGTGCTTATTTCTAAATATCCTTATGAGTTGCCCACCCCACTATAATGTGAACTCTTTGTGGGCAGGGGCTAATTCTAGGTTGATCTAGACAGGAGGTGAGGCTTCCCCCACTGTATAGGCTGACAGCTGGCCTGCTGCCTCTTCAGGGTGTCCTGACCAGGGTCCACCCTTCTCCTTCCTCAGGACCCTGCTCAACCTCAGGGGCCAGTGAACTCTGGTATGAGGCAGAGGATCCTCAGGGAAGCTGCAGGGACGCATTTTACCAGGCAGTGCCTCCTGCACTTCACTCTTCCCCTTTCTCCTGCTGTGTGGCTGAGCTTCCAGCAGGCCTGGGCCAGCCCTGGTGGGGCTCTGATCCTCTGCTGTGAACAGCTGAATCAGAAAAAAACAGCTCTGGAAGGTAGAAGCACCCGTAAGGGTGTGGGACCCAGCTTCCCAAGCTGATCATGGGCTGAATTTCAGTCTCTAATCTCCTGGCTGGAAATGCTGAGCAGAGCACAGCTGCACAACTGTTCAAAGCAGCCCTGACCTTGGTCTACAAAGCGACTTTGAGGATGAAAAGCACTTGCAGGCAGAGCTGAAAGACCCAACCTGGGTCACTGATAAAGACTCCCCCACATAATTCCTGGCTGGCCTTTCTCCTCTTTTTTTGCTTTTAAAAAATATATTTTGAAAGGACTTCAAAGTTTCAGAAGTTTCAAAAGCCACACAAACAACCCATTTCACCCAGAATGGCTGTTGGGTGCCATCCCCTGCCACCCGCTCTGCTGTCCTCCCCTCCCCCCCCATTGCCTCTTTACGGGTATCTTCAGAATCACTGCAAGGCAGCTGGCAAATATCATCTGCCACCTTCTGTCGTCCAGTTCCTATAACCATCTCTGTCTTCTGAAAGAAAATGTGAAACCATTCTTCGCATTATTTTGCTATTCGGTTATACTGTAAATTGCTAATTTAATTTGAACTCCACCAAATTTTAACACCCTCCAAAATGCTCTAGCTGGTGACGTTCAGACCACCACCTGAGCTTGGAAGGACACCTGACATGGTGACCATGGCCTCCTTAGGGACCCTCTACCTGTGTCACACTGTGGCTGTGACACGGACGCTCCCATGCACCAAGGCCACACTCACCCCTGATATGCCCATATATGGACATGAAGTGGCTCCTGCCATCACCTGTGAGGTCCGGGTCACCTCACAATGTCCTGGGACATTGGTCCTGGTCACCTCACAATGTCCTGGGTTCTATAAGAGGCCAAGAGCTCGGCCCTGGCTCACAGCCAACAAAGTTCCACCTCCTCACAGGTTGGCTGGCTCAGCTGAAGTGGTGCTCTCTGTTCTGAGCCAAGTCTAGGCCAAGTTCATCTAGTGCCATGGCCAGATACAGATGCTGCCGCAGCCCAAGCCGGAGCAGGTGCCGCCGCCGCAGACGGAGATTCTATAGACGAAGGAGGCGGTGCCATCGGAGACGGAGACGTGAGAGGATGCTGCCTGGGCTGGGGTTGGGGCCCTGTGGGGCTGGGATGTCCTCTCAACACTTCTTCTGTACCTAGGGTGCTGCCGCCGCAGGTACACCCGGAGGTGCAAAAGATACTAACTGCAGAAGAGCAAGTCCACTGAACTCCTGCTGAAGACTTTACCAGACCTCAAGATCGTCCTACCACCTCTTGACAATGCCACCTTGCACTGAAACAGGAGCCTGCTAAGGAACAATGCCGCCTGTCAATAAATGTTAAAATCATCCCACTCACGCCTCTTTGTCCTTGTTGGTTCAGGGGAGAGGGCTGACCTGGTGGCAGAAGGGCTGGGGAAGGCACGGAAAAGACGCTGGGAAGGGGGCCGTGACTGTTGCCATAAGGGGTTCTGTCCAAAATAGTGATGTGACGTGAGGGAAATCTGCTACCCAGCCTGCCTACCCTTCCACCTCCTGGTGCTGAGTCTTGCGCGTTTTAAGGTCACTATTGTCCTTCCCCTCTGTTCTGTGATTGGTGTCTAGCAATGAGCCACGCGGGATTTATAGGAGGGCCATCAGGGCCTGTTACTGCCACTGGGACTCCTTGGGACTCCCTACCATCTGTCCCAAGAGCCACACAGGCTTAAATAAGCTAAAATTTCAATGTTTTGGTTACACAGAACAAGTCATCAGAATCAGGAAGCTCAGATTTTCCTTCATAAAGCAGCCTTCAGTTTTAAGTCTGTGTCCCCATTTGAGAACAGTAGCAACTTGGCCAGGTCTTCAAGTACCTAAAGTCAAGCATTGTGTTCATGAAATGAACTCGCCCATCAGAACTGTCCGACCCCCAGGACACTGTCTGCAGCCATGCTCTTGGGGTGAGTGTCAGAGGACCCTGGTGACACTGGGTATACAGCACAAGATGGCTGGGACCAGATGCAAGAAATCCTACTAGGACTCCAGGTGAATGAGCCCAGTCAAGGGCTAGGAAAGACCACAGACCTGGCACAGACTATGTCACAATCACAATTTTATCAGTGATCACCCAGGACTCCAGGACAAGCTAAAAGGGATCAGGTGTCCTGGCACCCGGAAGTCTCCACTCCTGCTCATGGAGTCCCACTGTGCACTGGGCTTTTGGTCCTCAGCAGCCCTTGAGGCAGGGGTCAGCAGGCTGCTTCCTGAGCACACTGGCCCCCTTGGAGGCTAGAGCTCAGCCTAGCCCCACCAGGACTCTTGGGGCCACTCCAGCAAGGCCTTCCTGAGCCAAGGAGGACGACAGCAACAGACCTTCAGGTGGGCAGTGTTTTGGGAGACTTTTTTTGTACAAGCAAATTAAACTTACAACCTCATGTTTGCCAGGTCGATGCTGCGCCACTGTGCTATATACATATATATTTATATGTTTTTCTTCTATTTTGATCACATCTCTAGCCATGGAAAGGTGAACCTAGCTGAACATTCATATCTTTTACTCATTGTCTGAGGGAGACCAGGCACCCTTATAAAGTTCCTTGACCCTGAAAGGGTAAAACATGTAAACTCGAATAGCTTAAACCAATACAAGTTTATTATCTCACAGTTCTGCAGAAGTCAAAATGAGTATTAAGGGGCTAAAATCAAGCTATCGTGGGGTGAACCTGTTTTCTGGCCTCTCTAGCATCTACAGTGCGGTTCTCCAGGCCAACAGCACAGCCTCCATCAGTCTCTTCCCAGGTTCCTCTGTGATTGCACAGGACCAACCCAAGTGATAAGGGTCAACTCCCTATGGAGAGAGCCTTGGTGACACCTACAAAGCCCTTTTCGCATGTGGAAGGTAACAAGCCCACAGGTTCATGGATTATGATGGAAGCACCTTGAGAGGAGGCACCGGCATCCTTTGCCCTCCACAAGAGAGAAGCCAGGGCCACACCCATTCTGCCCTCCATGAGGAACTGGGGTTTCAGTTGCCATGACCCTACTTCCGGTTCTCAGCAGATCATCAGAGCACAAAGGCACGAATGCTACCTAGTGCGCACGCTTTGAAGGCATTCCTCACACACTGGGATCATGGAAAACGTGTTGACTGTGGCACAACACCAAGGGGAATCTTCTAGAATGATTACCTAAGAATCCCCACCACTGGGCAGGACGAGGACTACATGGGGACGGTAAGAAGCTTCTTTCTCATGACTGAGGGTCCCACCTGCTCCCAGGGCTGGGGACACACTGTCTGGGCAAGGCCAGGGCCTCTGGCCAGGACTGCAGCCTCTGCCCTGTGCCGCCATCACAGAGGCTCTCGGCAGAGCAAGGACAATCATGGGATGGGCTGCCAAGCCAGGTCATAGTGGGGGCCCCCTTTATATATAAGTCTCAAGCACCCCACTAACCAGACCAACCAACAGCAAGAGCAGGTGGGCAGCCTCAGCCCTCCTCCCCCCGGTCAGCTGCAGCCTCAGCCCGGAGCCACCCATCTCCCCATCTCCGGGCACAATGGTCCGCTGCCGAGTGCAAAGCTCCAGTCAGCACCAGAACCAGGAGTCTGGTGAGGGCCAGGAGCAGGAGCAGCGGCTGAGCCCAGAGCGCGTTGAGGCCTGCGCAAGGACACACAGAGGCCACCACAGGCGCAGGTGCTGTTCTCGGAGGAGGCTGTGCCGGGTCCACAGGCGGCGGCGCCGGTCCTGCCGAAGGCGCAGGAGACGCATCTACAGGAGGCGGCATCGACGAGGTCTGCCCAAACATCCCCCACTAACCCCAGGCCCTTTTACCTCTGTCTTGAATCTAAACCCCATCCCCACCTAGATGCCCCAAATGACCCCAAATCAACTTTTTTTTCCAAAAGGCTGCAGAAGCAGGAGGAGGAGAAGATGCAGGAGGTACCACTAAACACTCCTAGGCCCTGCTGAAAGCTACAAGTCACCTGCCCCAGGATCAGCAGGCGAGACCATAACATCCCGCTGTTGACGCCTAAACCCTGAGTTTCCAAAAGACCCCACAAGATCTGAGTAATGAGCACAGTCACCTGCTAAATAAAGCTTGACAAAGAACTCACTGACTACTGGGTCTCTTTTGTGCAGGCAGCCTTTCAGGTCTGGGAGGACGGGTTTCTGGGCAGTGCATTGTGGTGCTGTCCTCTGACTGGGCTTGTGTCCCTTCACCGTACCAAAGGCCACATTGTTCAACCTGAAGCTGTAGGTTTACCTCCCCAGGTGAGAAGTAGGTCTGAAGTGCTCAAGCAAGAATGAACACAAAGCCAGGGTAGGAGGGGCCCGGTTGGGTAAGCCTGTGTCAGGTGCAGGAGGATCCACTCTAGCTTGTGGGGCTGAACTCCCACTGTGTGACACCTGCCAGGGACACAATCTCCTATCCCAGTTGCTATTCCTAAAGGATTTCTAGCGCTCAGAAATGACCAACTGTTTTTAAGACAGGGATTCTCAACTCTTCCCATGCCATTCTGTGCAAAATCATGTGGTACTTTAAAAGCATCACCCAGAGCTTAGGAGCCACTGCCTTTCAACATGTTGGACCATGGACTTTCAGGAGCTTCGGGGATAGGCCAGGGTATGCATGCTAAGCACACACACTACCCCTGAGCTGCACCCCAGCCCTGCCAGGGTTTTGTTATACACAGCTCAAGAGAAAGTGTGGGTAGGTCAAGAAACCCATCACTCCTGCCCCGCCAGAAGGCTCCCTGTGTCCCTGCCTTAAGGCAATCCATACTCTAAACCCATTTTTACAAAGTATCAATGGCTCTTTGCTGGCTATTTCTGGAACACGCCCCCTGCTTCCAGGTACTCTACCCTCCAGTCTCATTCCAGCTAAAGGAGGACTCTCTCTGGACCCCCCCTCAGGCTGATGGGGGAGGGGGTTGGGGTGACTGAAGGGAGTGGGTTTCAGGAGCCCTTTGTGATGTCAGCGCCCCATGCCCCGCCCTCACAGCCTTGTGTTCCACCCAGCTACCTCCCCGCCTAGTCTGGAGAGAGCCAAGGAGGGCAATGGGTTCCCGCTGCACCAAGCTCAGCACGGGCCACCATACTGGCCACAGCACGGGCCACGGCAGGAGCCATGAATCCACCATGAAGAAGCTCCTGGCCTGCGTGAGTCAGGATAACTTCTCCTTGTCATCAGAGGAGGAGGAGGAGGAAGAGGAAGAGGAGGAAGAAGAAGAAGAGGAAGAGGACGAGGAGCAGCTCCCAGTGAAGGGCAAGCTGTTGCTGATGGCACCTGGGCAGGAGGAGAACGCTGAGGACAAGCCTATGGCCCAGCAGAACCCTGAACCCAAGCAGACGCACTCCTGACCAACGACAGCTTCCCAGTGGGGGGTGCTGCTGCTGTTCCAGCGAGAACTTTCAGAGAAGAGTCAATAAAAAGTCTCCAAGGAACCCTCTTTTCTGTGTCCCTTTCTGTACCAGGTGTGCATGCATGTGGCTGGGAGGCTGAGGACGTGGAGACAGTGGCCTTGTTTCTGAGCCTGTCTGCTGCAGAGGTGGAAGGGAGGGCAGCCAGCACTCAGGCTGGGAAGGGACAGGCAAAAGAAGGGATGGAAGATAAACCACGGAAAGGAGGATTCAGAGCTGGCTTTCCATAGCACAGCAGGGTAACTGCTTGCTAAAAGAGCTTATGTTCGCCTGCCTTGCAAGCAGGCAGTCGTGAGTTCGATCCCTGGTACCGATAAAAAGGAAAAAGACCAAAAAAAAAAAAAAAAAAAAAAGAGCTTATGTTATGCTCCAAGGTGACTAGAAAATGAGAATACAAAACTCCCAACACATAAAAATGATTTAATCTGAAGAAAGGGAAATGTTTATTTGGACTTATACATCATATCCATGTATCAAATTACCATGCTGTACCCCATAAAGATGTATGAATGTTATCTCAATGAAAAGTAATTACTAAATTATACACAGAGTCATCCCAGCTATCCTTTCTCTGGAGGGGACCTCTCTGCATATTCAGATGAGAGCATCCGAGCACAGACACACAGATGCTGGTTTCTTGAACAGCACTGGCTTGGGGAGTGCAGCACACCTGGGCTCCAATTTCTTTTCTGCTGGCCCAGGACCTCCATCTGTCCCTCCTGCACTAACCAAGATGCCAGTAGGACCATGCCTGGCATGGGCAGTGTCTTAACTACGGCAGGCACTGTCACGGGGCTCCTGCAGTCTGGCTCCTCCCCAGCTGCTCTTTCCACCACTTCGCACACTGGGGGCCTCTGTGCCCACACAAAGGCTCGCTCCTGCCTGCCTTCATGTCCCTGGCATTGGATAGCCGGGCCCTGGTCCTCTCGCTACGGTTCATCAAGAAGCTGCCAACGTCTGCTGCATACTTTCCCTGGCTCCTGTATTCCTCCTGCCCAAAGGAAATGACCAGTGGGGTCCACCTGTTTCCTTACCTTCGCCAAGCACCAGCCATGCGGCCCCAGAAGGACCTGGCTCAGCAGTGGGGTGGGGAGTAGAGGCACGCTGAGAGCTGGGGTACATGGTGGTGGCAGGTAGGGTGGAGGGACTGTTGTCCTACCTCCCCCATCTCACCACTGCGCCAAGGGACCCTGGCTGGATAGCTTCCTTCTCTGGTCCAAATCCCTTAAACCCACCTGCCCACTCATTTGTCCAGCCATGCCAGTCCCCAGGGGCCCTGATAATAAGACTCAGGTCCCATTCTGCTGGGTAGCCCACAGTGGGGCGCAGGGGTTGCAGAGGTGCTGTGGAGGAGGAGCTGGCCCTGACAGCTAGCAGCAACCTCCTTGAGGGTATACAAGTGGGGAGTCTGCGGAGAGGGGTGAGGGCCCTGGAGAGGGCCAGAGGCCCAGAAAGCCTTCAGTGTGGCCCAGCACACTTCTTATGAGAGCCCTGCGGAGCTCCACACCAGGCAGGGCCAGCAGAGCAGAAATCTACATGCCCTCTGCATGTGACTGCAAGAAACAGCCAGACCCAGATCTGAATGCTGCTCTGCTACTGATGTTTCCTGAGCCTCTGGGCTGGTTACTCAACCTCTATGACTCTGTTCCTTTGGTAAGACAATCACTGTACCTGCCTCACAGGGCTGCTCTGTCACGCCTGAAACCACCAGAAACATCTTTCCAGTTTGAGAGGTTAAAAGTCTGGAATTGGCCAAGTATAATGGCACATGCCTATAATGCCAGCACTCAGGAGGCTGAGGCAGGAGAATGCCATGAGTTCAAGGCCAGCTTTAACTATACAGTAAGACCTTGTCTCAAAAAACTAAAAAAAATAATAATTTTCCACATCCCAAGGAGGAATGTTCTTGTCCCTGTCAGTTCCCAGGGCTGTAGGAGGGACTTGGCTAATGGCTACAGAACACCCTCTGCCCCTCTGTGTGTGGCCTTCTTGTATCAGCTCTTCCATCCTCTATAAGGACGTTGTTGGTGGATGCAGGCTACACTCAATGATCCAGCATTGGCTCATCTCAAGACCCTTCAGCTAAACTACATCTGCAAAAACCCTTAGTCCATACAAGGTCACGCTGGCTGATTCCAGGTGTTATACAGGCACAGATTTGGGGCCATCATTCCTCTCACATCACAGTCACTGAGGCTCCTGGACAAGGTTGCCTACAAAGTGTGACCAGCCCAGTGAGCAGGAAAGGCTCAGTAAACCAGGTGATTTCCACTGTAAACTAAAAGCCGACATGGTAAATGCACAAGGTGAGAGGCCAAAGTTATACTCGGGCAGCAGAACGATAAGTGGGCTCCGACTTTCAGGGCGGGGAGCGGGGGCCATGGAGACAGGGATCCCAGGAGCAAAAAAGGGGTCAAGGATGTGGGCGGTTCTGGCGGGACTGCCTGAAAGACCAAGTTGGGCAAATTGGCCTCAGTTTCCAGCAAACAACCAGGCTTTCTCAAAGTGTGGGGATGTCTGAGCAGGGTCAGCAGGAACTGAACTACACAGGGAGGCTCCTGAGAAACAACAAGGCAGTGAGGAGGCAGAGGGGACTTGGGGCCTCCTGAGAACTGGCTGGCATCATAGGTTCACCCCAATGCCAGGGGAGGAGGAAAGATGTCCGTCATACCATGACCCCCACCCCATCAGATATGAGTGCAAATGGGGACTTGAGCCTGCCTCTGAGCCTCTAGGCTTGAAATCTCCCAGGACCGCTCATCAGCCACGCGCTTACACTTGTCATCCATGTGATAAGCCTTCTGGCCAGTTCCCTGCCTGCTCATCACCTATCTGAGCGAGCACTAAGGGTCCAACTCTCACCCACCACCCCCCTAGATCCTTGATGGAAAAAGGACAAATAATGCTGTAGCTGGCATCTACCAGGCTCTCACTCTGAGATGGGGCTGAGTGAACTGCTTGACTAGATTCTTTTCTTTAATTCTACCAATGTCCCATGAGGTGGGTGCAACTTTTGTTGACATTCTGCAAAGAAGAGGGGACTGGACTTAACTCCATAAGACCTAGGGACTTCAGTGCTTAACTGGCAGATGAGGAAACCCCAGAGTGCTGCTGCCCCGCCCTGAAGCCCTGAAGCTTTGTCCCTACCAGTCACATCTGTTACCCTCTGTGGCTTGTGCCATCACAATCAGCCTGACTATATAACTAGGGGGTATGGGGGCCCTAGTGAAGCTGGGCCAGCTGGCAAAGGAGGCCTCTCCAGGTGTGGCCTCCAGAGATACCAAGATGCCAAGCCTTCCCACCACCCACCCCCAGCCACACAGCACCTCTCAGCCTCAGAGTCACACCTGCAACCAGTGCAACTGCAGCCACCAGTGCCGGGGCTGCAACCTGAGCCTGGCCAGCCATCAGAGCCCACCTGGTGCCTTGAGCCGGAGCCCCACTCCCAAGCCCAGTCCCACTACCAAACCCAGCTCCAGTCCTAGCCCCAGGCCCAGCCCCAGCCCCAGGCCCAGCCCCAGGCCCAGCCCCAGATCCAGCTCCAGTCCCAGCCCACCACCTCGGCGCATGCACTCCCGCAATGCTCCTGCTGGGTCCAGCCGCCACCGCAAGGGCACCAGCAACAGAAAGACCTTGAGAAGGAAGATACACAAGAGAAAGGTGGCCAGGAGGAGCAAGGCGAGATACAGATACAAGAGGCGGAGCTCAGGTACTGTTTTAGCAGGTGGGGAGGTTCTGGGCCCAGAGAAAGGGGGAACAGCCCAGCTGGAGCTTGAAGGCAACGAGGTGGACGCTGGGTAACAGGAAACATGGAGGGTGGAGAGAAAACCAGGGTACATGGCAGGTTGAATGTCCAACACACTGATGCCCTGGGTCTTTGCATACATGGGATGGGCCGATTGAGAGACAGAGGCTGAGTGGATGGTAATAAAAAGCCTGGCTATGCACTGGTGGAATGAGGAAAGTGTGTGGTTCACTGGGTGACACGCTTGGGTAAGTGGATTAAACTGATAGCCAGTTGGTTCAAGTTGGGAGGATACTGGTGGATGGATGAACTGGTTGTGTACGGCTAGTTGGTTGGAGCAACTGAACTAAATGGAAGGCCTACTAGAAGATGGGAGAGAACAGAATGTTGGATGATAGAATGGGTGGATCCAAGTATCAAAAAGACCTTGATGGAGCCGGGCGTGGTGGCTCACGCCTGTAATCCCAGCACTCCGTAGGCTGAGGCAGAAGGATTGTTGCAAGCTCGAGACCAGCCTGAGCTACAAAGTGAGCTCATGGCTAGCCTGAACTGCACAGCGAGACCGTCTCAAAAAGACAAAACAAAAAACAAAAACCTTGATAGTCTAAGCCCTACCTCTTTATGTCCATGTTCAATTACAAAGGAGCAGTTTTAAAGGATGGAGTTGAGTAATATCAGCAGTGCTTAGCTATTAAAGGCCCCTTTCCTATTCCTTTGTCCTCTAGGGCGAAAATACAACTGATGAGACAGCACTCTCTTGACGTGTTCCTGTGTCAGTTTTACTCTTAAGGAGAAATGCCATCACATGTGGTATGCCAAGATAACGTCCATCTTTTTGCAGGAACATTATTACCATGGTGATTTCTATGCAACAAGAATTAAAGCTTGTACCCTGGAAGACTATTACTGAGTTAGCATTTCAATTTCCCTAATAAAGGTATCACATTTTTTTTTTTCTTTTTTATTGTTTGGTTTGGCTTTGTTTTTTCAGACAGGTCTCTCTCTGTAATCCAGGTTGACCTTGAACTCACTATGTAAGCCCAGGTGGGCCTGACACTCCACAATCATCCTACCTCAGCCTCCTGGGTGTTGGGATTACAAGAGTGTACTCTTTACATGGCAGGTGTCACACAGAACAGGGAAGAACTGATGAGCAGAGACAATCCCTGTTGTGGAACTTCATGGAAGTGTTAACTCATGAAAATGCCCCCTCTGGGTTCCATCCTGTTGCGATAAATTCACTGAAGGTAGACCTCTTAGAGAGACATGGCCTCAGAAGAAGCAGATGGTTATGTGTAGTTTATGGGTTCATCTTTAGCTCATTCCCCAGAAGCCAATACTCAGACAAAAGTGGTGTAAACACACTCAGTCACATATAGTCATTCAAGTCCCTTCAGACACCTACATTCATGTGGACTGATGCTCACACAGGCATGCACATGTACATACACAGACCAGCACTCACAGCATTGGCCCTCTCGAACATGACAGGGAAAAAGTCAAACCTGTGATTCATGTGCTCAGTTAAGGATGAGGTGACCATGCGGCAGGGGCGGGCCTACTGGGAACCAAATTTATAAAATGTAAAAATGTAAAAGTTCAGCCACGAGAGGATTATGAAAAGGGACCTATCTTTTCAATTGGTCTATGTTTGTAATATGATTACACACATCACGGGAGTTGGTACATGTGTGTAACACCTTTTTAAAAATCTCCTTCCCTCTGCATCTCTTAATCCCTCCACAGATATTTTTAAACATGTTTGTAGTACATAATCACATTCCTTGCAGGCACCTGGGCATGAACAGTACTTCACAGTTCTGAAGGGTACCTGTCTTAAAGTTGAAGGCTCTAACTTGAAGTTAGGCGGGGTGGTAGTATGGTCTGGAAAATAATGAAACTCAGCTTGGTCCATGGTCACAAAGGGTCATGAGAGGGATGTCATAGTCTGGGATGGGTGGGGCTGGGAAGCAGGGAAGAAGGCACAGACCCTGGTTGAGGTATTCAAAGAAAAAGCACTTCAACTCTCCAGTCACACAGATCCAAACCCCAGCTCGCCCCCCGTTTTCCCTCGCTGCGTGAGCCCTGGTGGCGCTCTCAACCTCTGGTCCTCATTTTGTGAAGAACACCAGAGCCCCCTGTGTTTATTACCTCTCTACTACTGATTGCGGTATCTGGTTCCCCTGAGGATCTCAGTAAGTGGAGTTGAGACTTTAAAGCCAGATACTATTTGTATAATCATCAAAGAGGCAAAAATGCAAAATGATCAAAAAGTACTAGCAAGGCACTGGGACACACTGCCGAGTGTCACCTCCAGGGTGGAGAGGTGCCCAGGTGACTATCAGGTGTCGGAGCAGTGCTAACATTTAAGTCGGGCCAACTTTTTCCCACATGTGCCCCATGAGCTTGTAAGGGAGGTTCAGGACCACATTTGTTTCTAAGAGCACAAAACTAACGTGTCCATCTGCAGGGGATGGTTATGTAAAGCCAGGAACCCCACAGACCACTGACCAATCTCACACAGCTGTCAGGTAAGTGCAGGATCTCTACAGGATGTCCCTGGATGGCCAGCATATGTGGGATAAAAAGGTAGGAGGAAGCACCGTGGGGGAGAAATCCTATACAAGCTATTCAGGGATAAAAATACTTGTGTGTATGAACAGAAGAAAAGTTGTCGAAGGCCACACAACAAGCCCATGCCTGGGGTTACTTCTGGCCAGGGAAAATGTCTTAATTATTTTACATGAGGAAGTGAAAAATTAGAGGTAAAAAGATAATGAGACTATCAAGGGAAGCTTCTAACTTATCTCAGCAAAGCTCTGGAATCTGAAGAGGGAGCACAGGAATGTGGAACCCAAGGTAGTCCCTGGAGGGGGAGGTTGGGCAAGGTGGTCAGTAGGCTGTCCCCAGAGGGCTACACTGGCCCCAGAGGGCTGCTCTGCCACAGGGCAGGGAGAGGCCAAGCCCAGCCTCTTGCCACGCGCCCAACCTTCAGGCCTCTCCTGTACCCCAGCCCCAGGGCTGCTGCTTTTGTCCTTACTTTCCTGCCTCTGACAGGCTGAGGCAGGAGGATCACAAGTTTAAACCCAGCCTAGATGACTTTGCGACTTAGTGAGACTCCTATCTCAACCATTAAACACATTTAAAGATTAATAAAATAAAAACTTGTAAAAAGAGCTGGAGATGATGTAGTTCAGCCATGAATTAAACCCTCAGCACCAAAAACAAAACAAAAAGGGCATTCTGCCCTTTTGAGAGCACTTGACCACCCCTGCCAGCTGCCAGGTCCCACCTACTACTTAGGACCGAACCCTGGCTCGTCACCTCCAGCTGAGCCAGGCGCCACTTCCAGCATGTGTAGAGGATGCTGCTGGCCCGTGCACCCCAAATGAGGTGTTCCCAGGCAGGGGATCTGGGCTCAGTTTCTGATTCCCGAGATGCCAGCCTTCTGACAGCCTCAATACCAGGCTGCTGCCCTGGGAGCTGTCCCCACCTGGCCTGCTCACATGGGTGGGGGACAGGAATGAGGGTCGAGCTCTCTGAAGACTCCTCCTGCCTCCCCGCTGTTTTGGAGTCATGAACAGCAGTAGTGCTTTCTGGAGGTTGTAACACCAGCAACTGTCATTTGTGACTCAGTTTCTCCCTCCTTCCCTGGTCACGTGGGCTAAGACTGTCCGCACATGCCCCAGGAATATGCCACTTTGGAGCCAGCCACAGGCTAGTATCAGTATTCACTGGCCCTTCAGACTTCCTCTGTGGATGTGGGTGCCAATAGTCTATACCACACTCCTACTCTCCTTCCCACTGTGGGGATAGGAGGGACAAAAGTCCACCTGACTCAACAAGGCACCTGACAGAGACCCTGTGGATCCCAGGGCCCCCCTAAACCCCCTCCACCCACCAGCTCCCTGCCTGGTAAGTAGAAACATATAATTTCTACCGGACACCACCAGGAAAAGATTAATAAGATCGTAGAGTAAAACAATGTTATTTGGCCTACAGCAGGGGCTGGATAAACAAGTGTTCTTGCTCTGAGTCCTAGGGGGTGAAGTCCAGCCCCAGGACTCAGGCCAGGTCTCCCATGCAGCTTCTCCCAAACCCAGCACCCCAGCGTTCCACTTCAGGACCTGGTGTGGGAACACCCCAGGGGACAGGCACAGTTGTAAGGTATGCTCACCATCAATGGCTGTCCCACACACTCAGCATCAAATCTGACCCTTTTCCACCACTTCACGAGGTTCTCCTTCATGGGCCAGACCCTGCCACCCCTATACCTCATGCACCCCAAACTTACCCTTGCTCTCTATACCCACCGCATCCATCTCCTCTCTGACCCCCCAAGCCCACCAATTATCCCCAACACAGCACCTTTCCACTTGGGTCTTTTCTCTTTTAGAAAGGCAACACCACCAGCTCACTGTCTCCAACACCCTTTCTCCTTGCCTGCTTTATTTTACCACATAAACATCTAGCCGCCCCCATTCTGCCTGTTAATTCCCGGAGGCCTGAATAATCCTGCACATTCATTATCTCCTCCAGGTCTACTGGAATTCTGGGTCTCCAGTGCCTGAAGACAGCAGGCACTCAATGAGTAAGCCCGGTCTTGCAGATGAGGACATTGAGGCAGAGGAGCTAAGAAACTTGCCTCAGGCCATACATTTTTGGCCCGAGGCAAAAAAACCAGAACTCCCATCCTGGGCTGGAGGCTCAGGCTTCCAGGGGCAAGGGCAAGGTTGCACAGCAACCTGGCAAGCCTAGGGGTTACCGGAAAAGAAGGGCCCAAGAGTCCCTGGGCACAGAGGACTTTCAGAATGATGTTCCTGAGCAGGGGCTGCTTTCCCAGCAGGAGGTCACTAGGCTGGAAAGAGAAACTGAAAACCTGAGCTCCCAAAACAGGGGAGGATCTCTGCTCCTTCAGTTGCTACCCTGGCCCCTCACTTGCTGGTGACCAGGGCTAGACCATCTCACATGGGAGGCTATGTTGAGTACACTGTACACATGTAGTTCATCTCCTTGTGACCCTCACTTGTGTCAATCACTTTACACCTGGCATTCTGCTCTGGCCTCTGTACACAATGCTGCTCTGTAAGATCCAAAACTTCCAGAGTCCAATGTCCAAGATCAGTGGGATCCCAGGAGGGCAAGTCACTTGAGCAACCTCCCACAGCTGGGCTGCAACAGGCCTGGAGCCAGAACCCAGGTCAGTCTTGCCATGGAGTCTGAGTACCTATGGGCTTCCCATTGCCAGTTGGTCAGGGTTGACAGGCCGTGGATGCACATTTCTTTTTCCATTCTGGCACCTGGACTCAGTTTCATTTTGAACTCAGGACACCAGAAAATGAAACTGAAGCCACATAACTGTCAGCGGGGCTTATGAGGAGAACTAGGGCCTAGAAACTTGAGCCTGACTCCAAATGGATTTTGCAACCTAGCTGGGGAGAAGAATGGTCCAGGCCCACTGAACAGCCAGGAAACTGAGACTAAGAGAGCCCAGGGTCATGAAGATGGTTTGAGACCCTGATGCAAAATCTAGAGCCTCCGTAAGTTTATTAACAAGAGGGAAGCAGAGGCCTGTCTCCCAGGCCAGCCCACGACATAGCTTTTTTGACCTAGGTCAGACCAGGTTGGAGACCACCAGCAGTAGAGTCTATAGCAGCATGCAGGAAGATATGAACCCCAGTTTTGCCCCTTCTAAACGGTGTGTCCTTGAGCAAGTAACTCTGCCTCTGGGTTTTAGTTTCCACATATTTAAAATGAGTAGCTTGGATTGTTTGGCCAAATCAGTGGTGTGGACTGTGAAGCACTTGGCATGCTGTCAGCCTGGGATAACGGTAAATGAAATGAAGGTGGGGGTCCTTGGGAAATGACGGTAAGGGGGGTGGTGGTGAAAGAAGGAGGCCCCAGCCTGCTGGACAGATGGCAGCTCTCCTGAGAGGCCACCGAGGCTCTCACCATGGGGGTGGAAGGAATATCAGAACCATCAGGTATGTATATGGCAGCGCTGGGTGGGAGAAAACCCTACTGGAGCCAGCCCAATCTGATCACCCTCTCCAGGCTGGGACCACTCAGTACCAGCAGGCTCCCCCACCCCCTCACTGTGCCCTCTCTGGCCCCTGCTTCTTGGGCTGAACCAAAGAGACAAAGCCATGTGTCTGGATCCAACATGCTGTCACACCAACAGGCACCTTGGATGCTTACATATTACACATCAAGGCAGCTGTATGAACCATCCTGTCCTCACTGAGTCCCCACACAAACCGTGCAGGAGACTCTATCACCCTGGCTCACAAATGCAGAAATCAAGGCAGACAGGCTAATTCCACGCTCAAGGTCACAGGCTGGAAAGTGGCAAGGCTGGAAGGGGATCTGGGTTCAGAGTCTACCTACTTTATGTTTTACTGCCCGCCCCCCCAAGTCCCACCACACCTGCCCCAGCGAGGGCTCAGTCCTCTCAGAATGACCACAGACTCTGACACCCGGTGCATGCAAGACTCTGCACCTTTTCGCTCACCCTTTGTCAGAGGTTAGACCAAGATGGCCACATCAATTTAAGGAGCTGGTGCAGTCCCAAGCCAGGCTCGTTCTAGGTCCCTGCCTGTGCTCAGGAGGAAACTGAGGCAATCGAGGGATAGGGAGACCTAGAGCAGAGCAGCTTTGAGGAGCCGTTGGGCTTCAGCCTGAGAGCTGTCTGTAGAGGGCAGTGTGTGCCAGTGTGAGGCCAGTTACCAAGCCTTCGGCCCACAGAGTATCTTTCACTTGGCCCCTCTTGACTGGGGCTCCCTTTCAGACTTCATTCAAAAACATTGGTACCAGCCAGGCACCTACTCTGTGGCTTTTGACCACGGAAGAATCACTAAGTCACACCTTCGTAAATGGTAGTCCTGACCATCACAAACCCAAATTATGTGGGGGTGGGGAGCAAGAGAGGACTTAGGAAGGGCAGATGCTAGATACAGCAGCTGAAGGGGTCATCTGTAAGGTGGAGGGTGAGGGTAGGGTTTCAGGATCACCACATCTGAGAATGGCTCATATTTCACTGGTCTCATTGAAAGGTATTCAGCTCTGCCCATCCCAAAATAAAAACAGGGAGGGCGGCAGCCAGGTCCCAAACTACCGGCCACTATAAACTGCAGCCTGTTTCTCCAAGCTGTCTCCAAGTAGGAGCACCGAGAAGGGTGAGTCCAGTCACTGGGGCCCCTGTGTGGCCGCGCCCGGTTTCCGAGGAACTGGGCTAGGTAGGAGTCGGGCGCCCCTCCCGCGCTGCCGAAGGGTTCCTTTGAAGCCTGTGGTCTGGCCGCCGCTTCCTAGGAAATCCAAGCCAAGACCAGGCGCAGCAGCCAGCCGGGAGGGACGCGGGGACCACGGGGGCGTCCGGGGCTCAGACCTGCGGGGCTCGGCGTAGGGGCCTGCAGGCCTTCGGATCTGCTGCGGGGAATGGCCGGCGGGGCTTACGGGAAGACCTTCGGAAGCTTCCTAGCAGGATCGGCTCGAGGGAAGTGGAGGACCCGAGGCAGGCGGGCAGACACCTGGAGGGAAGGAGGCGTGTCAGCGCCGGTGCATTTCACAAGGGCCCGGCTGCAGGAACCGGGGACCGAAGGAACCAGGGGCAAAAGTGACGGTACCGGGTCCCAAGGAGGAGTCGGAAAAGAGGACAGGAAACCCTGGGACGGAACAGAACCCCTGGGCGGAGGGACGCTACGACAGGTACGCGGCGAGGCGGGGACAGAGGGCTTCCCCCGGGAGGGTCCCAGGCCGGGCGCGCCGAGGTGGGAGTTCAGAGCTCCAGGCGCCACCGCAGAAAAAGAAAACGAAAGCGAGCAGGGGCGGGGCTGCGCAGGGCCACGCCCCCAGGCCTGTTTAAAAGGCTGGCGCAGGGGCGGGCACCAGCAGACAGAGCTGCGGCCGTGGCAGCGGCACGGCTCTCGGTCCCGGAGCATGCGCGAGAGCCGCCAGGGAGTCCCTTGCTGCCCCTCCCGCGGCGCCCCGCGCCCCGCCGCCAGGTGAGCAGGTAGCGGGCACGGAGCGGGAGGGAGGGAGAAGGGAAGGATCGCAGAGTCCGGCCAGGCCTGGGAGCTGGTGGTAGGGTCGCAGCCGTCGAGCCCCTGGCCACCGCCAGCCGCACCCGGGGCGCGCTCCCCGCGCGCGGGGCCCCCGCAGCGCGGCCTTTTGCTGCCTTTGCCCAAACCGTCCGGATCAGGCGCCAAACCCCGGCGTGGCCAGCAGGCGGCGGCCACGGGGCGGCGAGCTGGCGGACGGCTGAGTCCGGCCGGCTCCTGGAGTCGGACACCTCTCCACGCCCCCCTCTCCGAGCCACTGAGAGGCTGGACTCCGCCCCCGCCCGCCTGGAAGGGCTCTGCGGGTCTAGAAGCCCGTTTTCCCGAGGAGCCCACTGAGGCTCTGGGTCCGGGTGGACTTGGTGCTCCGCCTGCGTCCCGCAAGGCTGGGTCGCCCCCCTCCTGCCGCGGCGTGACCCCTCACCTGCAGCCCCACCCAGACGCGCCGGCTCACTGCCTCTGTCTCCTCATCAGCGCACCCCCGGACGCTATGGCCCACCCTTCTGGCTGGCCCCTCGTGTAGGATGGTAGCACACAACCAGGTGGCAGCCGACAATGCAATCTCCACGGCAGCAGAACCCCGACGGCGGCCAGAGCCTTCCTCCTCTCCCTCCTCTTCGCCCGTGGTCCCTGCACGCCCGCGGCCCTGCCTGGCCGCCCCGGCCCCGGCCCCGACCCCGGCTCCGACCCCCGGCGACACACACTTCCGCACGTTCCGCTCTCACGCGGATTACCGGCGCATCACGCGCACCAGCGCGCTCCTCGACGCCTGTGGCTTCTACTGGGGACCCTTGAGCGTGCACGGGGCGCACGAGCGACTGCGCGCCGAGCCCGTGGGTACCTTCCTAGTGCGCGACAGTCGCCAGCGGAACTGTTTCTTCGCCCTTAGCGTGAAGATGGCCTCGGGCCCCACAAGCATCCGTGTGCACTTCCAGGCCGGCCGCTTCCACCTGGACGGTAGCCGCGAGAGCTTCGACTGCCTCTTTGAGCTGCTGGAGCACTACGTGGCGGCGCCGCGCCGCATGCTGGGCGCCCCTCTGCGCCAGCGCCGCGTGCGGCCGCTGCAGGAGCTGTGCCGCCAGCGCATCGTTGCCACCGTGGGCCGCGAGAACCTGGCGCGCATCCCGCTCAACCCCGTCCTCCGAGATTACCTGAGCTCCTTCCCCTTCCAGATTTGACTGGCCGCGCCCGTGTGCACGCAGCATTAACTGGGCGCCTTATTATGTTCTATTATTAATTATTATTATTTGTGTGAAATAAGATGGGTGCCCTTCCCACCTGAGTTGGAGGGAGTGAGTGTGGAGGACGAGGGGCCTTCCGCTCTCAGCTGGAGACCAAGCCACAGACCCCTCCCCACCTCTTGGGGGGCACTCCCCTCCTGGTGCTCCCTCTGGGTCCCCCTGGTTGTAGCAGCTTACCTGTCTGGGGCCAGGACCTAACTTGCACCTCCTACCTCTTCATGTTTACATACACCCAGTATCTTTGCACAAACCAGGGGTTGGGGGAGGGTCTCTGGCTTTATTTTTCTGCTGTGCAGAATCCTATTTTATATTTTTTACAACCATTTTAGGTAATAAACTTTATTATGAAAGTTTTTTTTTTAAAAGAAAAAAAGGTTTCTAGAGCGTTTACTTTGACCAAAAGTTGTCCTGGGTTCTGATCTAGACCAGGAAAGTGAGGTCCTCAGACTGACCTCTGGGCTGATGGTGATATGAGGACTGTGCTCTGTGGCTGGGCATCGGCAGATGAGCCAGTGCTCTTATTTTGCTTGAGTTACTGTGTGTACTGTATGTGTGTCCCGCAACATGGAGCTCACGGTGGAGCTCTTCTCTGTGCTAGGCCTTCGTCTGTGCTTCCTCTGCTCAAGTTTCTTTAATCTTGGCGATACAGCCCTGTGAATTCCACACAGGCTCCTGCCCTACTTTACAGAAAGGAAACCTGAAGTAGGAGTAGATTTCTGGTGACCATTTCTTTTTTTTTTTTTTTTTTTTTCTGGTGACCATTTCTGTGTCAGAGATAACGGTCAGGCCCTTTTGACTGTCCGGGCAGAATCAGCTTGAAGTGAATGGCAGAAAGGAAACTTCTTTCCTTCGATGACCACAGCTTCTTCCAGGAAGAGAGAGGGGGTGGGGAGAGGTGCAGTGCGTTTTGGAAGGAGTGGTGGTGGCCTGCTCTGAAACGTAGCCATCAAGGGAGACCTGCTTCAGTGGGATGAAGAGGATGCAGGGCTGGTTCTGACTTATTTCCTGCCCAGTTCTGTCTTGTGTACTTTTTGGTGAGCACACAAATTGGAGCCAGAAAGAGGCTTTGTGGTCTGAGGTGGCAGGAGGGCCCCGCCAGTGGCTTTGGGCAATTCCCATTGCCTCCCTGAGACGCTGCTTCTGCCTCTAAAATGGGCAGCTTTCTGTGCAGCAGGGAGGAAGGGTACTCCAGGACGTTTGTGGGGCTGGCCCACATCACCAGAAAGTACCCAGAATCCAGGGTTTATGGCTGCCGAATCTGCTGCTGCGAGCCTGACAGTGTTGTGGGAACTCGGGCTACATTCAGGGAACTGAGTTACTGCCAGGTTTATTTAGGCTTTAACTGCCTCCGGGGCACAGCACACCTCATCTTTAAAAGCTGGATGGGCCGCTTTAGTCTGGGACATGTTTATAATGGAACGTCCCAGTGTTTAATAATACTTTTCAGGTTTGAAAGGAAACTGGAGTAGCCAGCACCAGTCTTGGGGTTCAAGGGGCTGCAGCCTTCATGGATGAGCATGGCTAGAAGAGATGCAGGACCTCGATGGGTTGGAGGGAAGGAGGTGGTATTTTATCTCCACATCCAAACATCTGTGCCTGTCCTTTTTCACTATGCTTTCCTTCTCTGCTGTGTGAGTTAGTGATGGCCTGTCCGTGTCCTCCCCGACCCTGGGCAGGCCTGGAGAGAGGGAGAGTTCTAAGAAGGCAGTGCTTGGGTACCAGGCAGGAATAGTCACAACTGCAGGCCCCCATCCTGTTTCATCTTCACCACCAGCCCGTGAGCCCCACATTTTCCCCTTTTTTACAGATGGAGACCCAGGCACAGATCAGCAAAGAAGGCTCCCAGCGAGTGGCAGAGCCAGGCTGTGCGGCTTGCTGCTTCAGAATCTGGGTACCACCAGGCACCGTTCACACCTAACGGTCACTGTAATAATAATAATAATAATCATACCAGCAGCTGCTGCTGGTTTTATATATAGCGCCTACCGTTCTGAGCCCCCTTATCCTCTATTTAAAGCATTCAGTCTTCACCTCAGCCTGACTTCAGTGCTAGTCACATCCCCACTTTAGAGAGGAGGAAATGGGTCCTCAGCTAAACAGGGAGGGACTGGCAGGTGGTTTACAAACTGCTAAGGGTTTTCCCCACTGTGAAAAAGTTCAGAACTCCTATTTTCATCACCCAAGTACTTGCTATACAGACTCAGTCGCCTCACAAGGCCCGAGACAGAACAGCTAAGGGAAAAGATCCCTCTGCTCACATTTTCCAGCGCTGGCCCCTTCCCTTTATGAGTCATTTTTAAAACTCCATACTAGCGTATGTAAAGTGACCTAAAAGCCCCGAGGAGCTGTACTCTAGGCCCTGTAGGACTGAAATGCAGTAGACACCACTGCAGGGGAGAAAGCTCTGTGTGTGTGTGTGTGTGTGTGTGTGTGTGTGTGTGTCGCGCACGCCACGCCGTGTGGCTTCCCGGTGGTGCAGTCTCTATCTTGCTCTCAAACCTCAACTTCATGATTCAGCAGCGCTTACGTCAATGAACGAAAATGAAAAGTGAGAGGAGAGTTGGGGTGTCTGAGGGACCGATCAGGGGCGAGGAGGAGGAGGAGGAGGAGTGGCTCCTGGAATGAGGAGTACAGGAAGCATCCATCTCTGGCCAGCCTCAGCCCCCAGTTGGTGACTCTGACCCCATTTCACTGAGGAGCAAGCGGGACCTGCTTGGTGTGTCATATAGCTCCAAAGCAATGGCTGACTTGGATCAGGTCTGTCGACTGGGTTTCTGAAAGAGTTGGACAGGGCAGAAGGCATTCTGGGAAAAGGAATATTCCTGGCCTGCCTCTGCCTGTTTGATTTCCCCGACCTTAAGAGCAGGTCCCGCTTCTATCCCAGGAAGTGACCCATCAAGCCTCTTCCATGAGGTACTAGACATAAAGTGCTCAGCATAGAGTCTGGCATGCGGCAGGCACTAAATGCCTCTCTGCATGATAAGATGCTCAGCATATGAGGGTGGAGTTTCCTACAACGAACGTGTTCCAGGCATTTTCCTAAGCTCAAAGGACACAGGAATTAATAAACCAGCAGGAATCTGGTCTGTGCCCTCATGGAGTCACATGCGGGGCTGGGAAAGAAGGGAACAAGGACAATCAAAGTAGAGAGTGCTCAGATGAGAAGAGGGTGATTGGACCTGGCTGGGGCTGTTGTAGAGAAAAGTCAGGAAGGTCGGGGATGACACAGAAATCATGACGGGAATGACAGAATGGAGCCAGCCCGTAAAGATGGAAGAAGGTCAAGCGGCAGAGGATGGCAAGTGCTGAGGGAGGCCTTGTGTGGGAAAGGGTTCTAGACATGAAGACAGGGTTGGGGCAGATGCTGTAGCAAAGCTGGGTAGGGGCCAGGGTACCTGGGCCCCGGTCAGCATTGGTCAGGAGTGTGCTAGAAGCCTGGGTGGGACCCCATCTAACTTGTGACCAGATCCCCTGGCTTCAGGGTGTGTCTGTCTGTGGGGGGAAGATGATTTCTCCTTGAGAGACCCCTCTGTCTGCTGCAGCCTATCAGACCCCGCCTTGTGGGATGCTGGGACCAAGCATGGGCCAGGCTCAGAGTGCCCAGGACTGGCCAGGCTTCAGCCAGGAGCCTCAGGTGTGAGTCCCCCCACTGGGTCTGAGAGTCATAGGATATGTTCTCAGACTCCAAAGAGGGACTTCTAAGGCAGCTGGCCTCAACTCTGGGGAAGGGCACAGGGCACCTGAAGGGAAGCTGATGGGGCACACAGGCAGTGCCACCTGGATGCCTGCTTGCATCCATTTTGCTCAGTTGGCCCCGCATCAGGCCCCCCATAACATCACCTGAAGTTGCCCCAGTAGGAGCCTCAATGTCCGGTTCTCACCAAAACAGATCACACAGGGACAAAGGTGTGTGCTCAGGTACTCAAACGGTGCCTCTCAGCCCCAGCCCTGGACTGGACTCACAACCCTGATGCAAAGCATGGCTTCCAGACTCCATGGTGAATGGGTAACTCCCAAAACAACCACCTCTTGCACCCAGGGTGGTGTCAGGTACCACCCTCCTCCCCTCTAGAGGCTCACAAGTCTACCACCCAGGAAGACCCAGAGGTCTACAGGTGACCACTGAACTTGCCACCTCTGTCCTGTCTCTAGGTCTTTTCACATGCTGTTCCTGAGCCTGGTGCAGTGTAGTGGCATTTGACAGCACAGTAATAGCTGTGAGCGTAGCTATTCTTGGCTACTGTGTGCATGTGCTAACGACATCACCGCACTACCCTCTCCACGGGAAGCTGCCGAGCCCACTGGACCGGAGTTTGGCTGTTCGGTGCCACTCAGTACTGCTCAGTTCCACTTGGCAGTACTCTGCTCTCCCAGCTTCCATGTGGTCTCCAAGCTGTCCACCACCTGCTGCCTATCGTGTCCTACCCATGGGATTCTCAGACCTTTCCAAAGATCTCAAGACCCCGAGAGGACATGTCCCAAGTCATGCAAGGCTGAAGCCGTGGTGACAGGACTTTTTTGGCCTCAAGGCCACACTGACCCTTCCCTGACTCAAGTTAACATTCGGATTCTGTCTTTTCCTTCCCTGGAAGATATTAACTATCTTATCCTGAGTGACGTTAAATAACAAAATCTTAATGTGAGGTGGCTGTCTTCTAGGTGAAGTGGACCCTCTCTCTGCTTCATGGTTCTTGATCTGCCCTTGTTTCAAAAGAATGTTTTTTTTTTTTTTTTTTCTTTTATTTTTGAGACAGTTTTGCTAAGTTGCCCAGACTGGGCTCAAATTCTCCTGGGTTTCCAATCTTCCTACCTCAGCCTCTGGAGTGCTGGTATTACAGGTGTGCACCATCACACTCAGCAAAAATGCCATTTACTGAGCACCTAATGGGTGCTGGCAGTTGGCCCATGTGGGTGGTGAGAGGACTGAAGCTCAGGAAGGCAAAGGGACATCCCCACTGCAGTGTCCAGTGCCAGGGTTAGAGTATGGATCCA